GTGATGGCAAATGAGGAGGCTTGGGTTTTTTATATAAGTTGTAAAAGCGTGATTTCAAATCATGTTTTCTTAAGAAAAAACAATGCACAATGAAAGCGTGATTGTGAATCACGTTTTCTTCAGAAAATGAATATGCACAGTGAATTCAAAAAACAAATTACACGACATGCACAGTGAAAGCGTGGTTTGGAACCATGTTTTCTTCAGAAAAAAAATTTATGTTAAAAGTATGGTTTGCAACTACGCTTTCTTAATTAAAAGCGTAGTTTCTAATAGCGCTTTCACTGTTCATCAAATTTTCGACCCCAAACAGTGACCCCAAAAAGTGAAAGCGTGATTTGTAATAGTACTTTAGCCTAGTTTGAGAATTCCGTCCAAAGTAGATCTAGTTTGAAAATTAAGATGATAAATTAATATGGGAAAAGCCTCCTTATTGAATGGTTTGTATTGATTTTTTTTTTTTAATTTTTATAAATATATTATTTTAATAACGACCATGGAGATGAGAATTTTAGGGCATTAAAATAGTGCTGGTTGGATTAGGTCCGATAAACCTCTATAAACCCCCCAAAAGCCATCCATTTTTCGTTTAAGTTGTGAATCGATGGCATTTGCCTCTTCTCTTCGCCGCGTTCTCAAGCCTTCGTCGATTCTTCAATCACACTACACTTCGATTCGTTCAAATTCAACCCTCACCTCTCCAAAGCTCTTCGTTAGCGGTACCTCTCTCTCTCTCTCTCTCTAAATATATGTATTCAATTTAGGGAAATTCAACCCTTTAAAAAGTTATACTATACGAACCCTAATTATGTAATTTTCTTCGATCAATTTTTTTTAATTATAATATTATTTTAGTTACGGTGTTTTTTCTTTTTCTTTTTTTTTTTTAGTTATATCACATATTATTATAGCATCACTTTTTTTGATTATGACTTAAAAAATTGAAATTATGCCATTCTGGATATAAAGGTGTGCACCATAGTGTTCCCTTAAATTTAACCTCGCTATTCATACTCTGTATTCTTATTCTGATCTGATGAGGTGTGTCGATGAGTTTTCCCATTTCTGTATAAAATGACAGGCTTAAATTTGATTTATTTATGAATGTGTTTTTTTGTTTTTGTTTATATATTGGGATATTCACATTAAGACCCTAAACTATTGAGAATTATCATTTTGATCCGCACAAATAGACCTTAAACTATCAAGAAATATCCCTTTGTCTTCTAAATTATAAAAGTATACAAATGTCCTTTAATTAAAAATGTACAAATTGAACTGTTAACAAACTGGTCAAAGTGAAACATTCTAATAATTTAAGAGGTCTTTCTGTATGTTTTTTATAGTTTAAGGAACAAAGTGATATTTCTCAATAGTTTAGGCGTCTCTGTGTAAATAATCCTTATATATGTTTATATTATACTAGTGCAAATGCGATGTATTTGTATTTTTATATTTAAATTGTTGGATAGTTTGATGATTGAAAAAAATTGATTACCATTCTATGAATGAGAAAAAATGTGACAATTATGGATGGAAAAGGGTGATAATTATTGGGTAGAAAGGGCATTCTTGGAAAAAAGTAAAAAACATGGTAGCATTGGTACCAACTCAAGTGTACGCTTTATATAATAGAAACTCAAATAAAAAAAGAAGCTAAAAGCATTCATTGCCTAGTTTTTTTTCTTCTTCTTTTTCTCTCATCATTCGATTTATTTATGTTTCATAAGATGTAAGCAGAAGTTATACTATACCAAATACACTGTCACAAATTTCCAAAATTTAAAAGAAAAATCCATGTCGTCCCAATAAATTGCATCAAACAAACCCTTGAAAAGGTTGTGTTCGATTCCCAATTCCATGACCTTTTGAAAAAGATGTTGAATTCTCATGGAAGATAGATATGCATGGTTTAAAATAGAATTTGTTCGAAATTTGTGCATTTGACCGAAATAACTCGCAAATTTGAACCAAATTTGTTCAAAATTCGTGAATCCATGCTCTGGCTTGCGGTTGCCATTTCAAATACATGAATTAGGTTACCTAGCTAGGAAATAGGCTTGCTTTTGATAATTCTAGTACATGTTTTTTTTTTTTATTTATTTTTGTTTGTTTATAATGGAATCAATGTATGCATTGTAAATTCGTAACTCAGAAATTGTAGCAGCACGTCTGGAACTCCAACATAGTAGGCTATTTTCTTTGGTGTTTGTTTAGATTTTCAAATGTTACTTGGAATTAGGATTATTTTGGTATGAGAAATGGGAACGGGAATGTGCTATACAACATAAATGTGCTATGATAGGAATAGCATGTATAGATCACACTAGAGGTTATTTAAGTACTTCCAAACATTAGATCAATTTTTGTTAACAATCAAACACCTAATAAAACATACTGTTATTCTAGCAGCATTGCGGCTTCTATTTCACATTTGTCAACCAAAACTCCATTCTCTCTAGAGCCCAATTCAATTCAATTGTATCTAGATTTTTTTCCTCCTAAGATAAACATTTACGAAATAATTAGGAAAATTTTTTTGGGTTGCTAAATTCACCATTTTGTAGTGAAAAAGTTCAGGGAAATAGGTCTAACTAAGAAGATTAAGCTGTTGATGATGAATTTGGTCACAATTGTGGGTAGATAGAGAATGGATAGTTGGCAAGTGGCCAAGAACTCCTAGAGCTGTGTGAGTTAGTCTGCTTTGAGGCTCACTATCACATGGAATATTGGAAGGAGAGGCTGTAGTTGTGCAGCTATGAGTTCTTGCCCAAAGGTCACCACTCTTTATAACTATATGAAAGGAGGGGAAATCAATATATATTTTGTGATGAAGTATTTATCTTATCAAGTAACAAAGTTATGCAAGAAAGGATATGCCAGGTGTTCCCTGGAGTTCCCTCTTGCACCAAACAAAGGCATATTACTATTTTCTGTTTAGAAACCAGATGCAATAAATATTGATTATTGAATAAATAAACTATACTTGCAAAATAATTAATAAATGCTTTGATGGTTTATAGGTGATAGTGCATTTCTTGTGGTGATCTTTTCTAAGTTGAAATAATAATAAAAAAGAAACTAAAAGCATTCATTCCCCAACTGTCCCCCCCACCACAGTACATCAAACACACTAGCATAGATTCCCAAAATAAAATTAAAAAAAAAATTAATCTATGGCAGCTTGAATAAATTGCACCAACTATGCCTTTCATAGGTTGCATGTTTGATTCCAAATGCAATGACCTTTTGAAGATGTCGAATTCTCGTGGCAATCTGTCAGACGTGTGGCTTAAAATAGAATTTGTTTTAAATTTGCGGATTTGACCAAAATAACCCATGATTGATCCAAATTTATTCAAAATTCGTGAATTTGGAATGCGGTTTTCCATTTTAAATCAATGGTTTAGGTTACCTAGCTATGAACTAGGCTTTTTTTTTTTTTTTTTTTGGGTGGATAACTAGGCTTGTTTTTTATGATACCAGTAGATGTTTTTCTGTTTATAATGGAATCAGTGAGTGTCATAAATTCATAATAAAAAAATTGTAGTAGCATGCCTGAAACTCTAATCTGGCAGGTTCTTTTCTTTAGTGTTTGTTTAGTTTTTCCAATGCTACTTGGAATGTGAATTACTTCAGTATGAGAAATGGGAATGGGAACACGATACACAACATGAATGTGCTATGATAGGAATTCTTGTTTATAGCTCAGAGTCTTAGAATCTGTTTAAGTACTTCCTAACATTAGACCAATTTTGTTTTGATAAATAAAACATTAGACCAATTTTTTGTTAATGATCAAACATTTAATGAAACATAGACTGTTATTTTTTGGACCATTATAAATATTTTTTACATTTGTTCAACCAAAACTCCACATTCTCTAGAATTTAATTCCATTGTATTTGGATATGTTTCCTCCTAAAGTAAAATTTTACAAAATAAATAGGAAATATTTTGAGATTGCTAAATTCACCATTTTGTAATGAAAAAGTTGAAGGAAATAGGTCAAGTAAGTAGATTAAGCTGCTGACGATGAATCTGGTCGCAATTGTGGGTAGATAGGGAACGGGAAAGATAGTGTGGCAAGTGGCCAAGAACACTCCTAGACCTGTCTGAGTTAGCTTCCTCCGAGGTTCACTGTCACTCACATGGAATCTTGGAAGGAGAGGCTGTAATTGAACAACCATGAGTTCTTTTGACTGTATATGCCACCCCTCATCTAACCCACTATTCTGACCAGGTTCAATGTCTATTGCAGTATCCCTTAGATGTCTCACCTCTCAATGTCCCTCAGTATAAATACTGGGATAAAGCATTTATCTTAACAAGCAAGGAAGACATGCAAAGAAAGGATATGCCAGGTGTACCCTGGAGTTCCCTCTTGCACTTCAGCGAGGTTTCTTGGAGCCTCTTTAGTTATTGGTAACTTGTAATCACTGAAGTGTTTGGGGGAACTCTGGTTGCCATTTGACACATGATTAATATCAAAAGATTGGTTATCATTTCAGCCTCTTGCTATCGAAATTGTAAATCCAACTAATAATGCTGCCTGTTTGAGGCACACTTAGGTTGAAACTATTTTTTGGTAACCTGATAAAGTTTTACTAATATGGTTTTTGTCTACTTGTATGAAATCTCCGAAGATTTACTTACAACTTAGTTGCATTTCATGTGCAAAAAAAAAAAGAGGAGAAGAAAAACCACACCGACAAATACACACAAAAAAGTAGAAGACGAGAGAAAAAAAGAAATATATTGTATGAATGGTTTATTGCTAATAATTCGTTCAAGTACAGTCTGATAGCCGAAGAATATGTAGAAGCTTGGTGATTCTACAAATAGCTAGAAATGGCCATTGTGTCTGACGTTGAATGGATTTGAAAGTCTGAAATGTTAGATAGAAATGGTCACTGTGTCTGTTTGTATCTTATGCGTTTTGTTTCTTTTGTTTTGTTTTTTTCTTCTTTTTGAAGAATAATTGACTCTTTGCTCTACAGGCCTCTCAAGGTTAACAACAGATGAAAAGCTTAGAGAAGCATTTTCGGCGTTTGGTCAACTTCTTGAAGGTAACCAAGACTATTTCTAGCTTTTATTAGTGTTTTATTTCAGTCTCGCTTCATTGGAGTTTCAGCATTAATCCTGATCTACAACTGATAAGAAGAATAACAAGAACAACAATGAGGAAGATGATGATGATAATACATAATGAATGGAAGTGTTTCTCATGTTCAAACCTTATTCCTAAGTAATTGAAATGACTGAAATGTCCTAACCATATCCTTTTCCAACATCCCCACTACTCGTTATGAATTTAAGATACTTTGTCCTAACCTCCCTATGACGGTTCATTTTCTTGGAAGTGAAACTTACTCTGTGTGTGTGTGTGTGAGAGAGAGAGAGAGAGAGAGAGGCCATTCTTACATGTAACTGTAATCCTTTTGTGGTCTTTCTCTTACCTTCATTTGCAAATTTGTCAACCTTCAAAACCTGTTTGAAACAATTGGTATTTTGGATATTTCTATTATGTTTTTCATGGAAAGTGGGATTTGGATGCTTTGAGGTTCATGTAAATTTATTTCTTCCTTGTGTTGTTAAAAAAAATGATTCTGCAAGTTAAAGAAGTTTTTTGCTTCCATCCAAGTAACATCAAGGGTTTCAAAGCAGACACAGCCCTAAGAATAAAGATTTGCTTTCACACAGTCTACAGAAATGGTGTACCGATCAATATTGGCCATGATTTTATACCCCCTTTCTTTTTTAACATCAGGCATGATTTTACCTTTTCATACAAATCCAAATGGGGGCTCTATAGTTTTGTGTCTAAATGATAAAAATACAAGAAAATATGAAGGCTAGCAAGTCAGCTAATTAAGGGTGAAGGGTGGGTTGAAATGTGAGTACTAGAGTAATAAATATAATAATTGTAGTAGTAATATTAAATCCTGATATATTGCCTTGATAATTTGCAGCAAAAGTTGTCGTAGATAGAGCCTCAGGAAGATCGAAAGGGTTTGCTTTTGTTACGTATGCATCCATAGAAGACGCTGAGCAGGCGAGAAAGGACATGAATGCCAAGTTTTTGGATGGGTGGGTTATTTTTGTTGATCCTGCCAAACCAAGAGAACCAAGACCTCCACCTCAACCCGAGTCACAACCTTCTGAAACGGGTTTCAGAGTGAACAAGACCATCGGTTGGTGTGGTTAATTGCTGAAAAGTTTTTGCTCGTGTCGTTGTGCTAAGAGTCATTTAATGAAATTAGCCATGAGTGGTTTTGTTTCAAATCCATCTTGAATTGGTGTTCTTGGACGGACATTTCTGGATTTATAAGTGAAGAGGAAAATTAATTAAACCATTGTTTTGGGTACCATATGATTTTGAACTTATACTATTGCTATGCTAAATCCTTTGGTTGTTGTAGAATGGAACTTGTTACGGAAAATATTTTCTATGGAATATTTTTTTTTTGGGTAGGTAATGTTTGGTTGCGTCAGTGAAATTATTGGATTAGAGGTTGTGTTTGGTGGTGGAGGCCGCGATGGCAGTGATAGTATGGAGTTAGCAGTATACTTTTTAGAAGAGAATATTTTTTGTTCAAATTAATTTGTTTTTCATTAATCATGAAAATTTTCTTGTGGGCTTTTCATTTTGTTATATCAATTCCATAAAATATGAAAAATATTTTTTAGAAAGATTTCTATGGAAATGAACGGAGTACAAGGAGAAAAATGAGGTCAGATTTATATGCATAATTTCTCTATGAGAGTAGGCAATGATGGCTTTGGTACAATTTTAACTAAGAAACGTGAGAATGGTATAGATGAGAGGTATGGTTCAACATGAATTTATGATCAGAGGTCAAGAGGTTTCCTTGATAAAAATGGAATAGATGAGCATATGTTCAGTAATTAGAGGATGAATAATTTTATGTATCCCGCTTTAATTATTCCGAATTTATTTTGAAAGAAATTATGTGATTGAGATTAATTTGTGTAATGTAAGATTCATCTATAGAATGAATTTGAACCGATAATAATTTCGAATAATTTTTAAATAGTTAAGTTTAGATTTATAATATTATTCTTGGAGGATTCATGGAAAGAGATTTTGGAATAATTAGTATTGTTAATGTATTATTTGGACTATTATCTATATTTTCTTTTCATCAAATGTTGACTTTGGTTAACAAAGCCAGCACTTCATAATAGTTTTGAAAATTATATTTTATTCTTTTAAATCTTCTAATCGCATAACAACTGACCTCTTTTATTAATAAATTATTAAGTTAAATAACAGTTTTTAATGATGTCATAAAAATATATCAATTAATAATTTTGATAGTTTTATTGTTATATAATAGAGTAGTTAGAAATTTAATTTTTTTTTGTTAATTTTATTAAATAAAAAATTATGATAAGAAAATATTTATAATTTTTAAAATTATAAAAAATAGTTTATATTTTATATAAATTTTAAAAAGTGTATTTATAATTTATTAAAAAATACCGATATTATGATGGATTTGTTTACCTTATTGTGAAAGAAAAGTATTTGGCACCAATATTTTGGTTTGTGACATTATTTTCCAACAATAAACCGTGGGCCAGATGAAACCAAATAGTCAGAATCAAAACTATGTTCACTAGATTATTGGTTTGGTTAAGTTTTCAAAAAGAAATCATTATAAAAATTAAAGCATTCATACCATAGTTTTAAAGGTAAATTATCAATATGTTCTAACAAGTCTTAATAAAAATAACTTCTAATAAAATGGTCGGTAAAAAGAATTTTTTGTGATGCTTTTTTATGTCACAAAAATTAATAATTAGTGATTTTTTTATCACAATTTTTATAAATTATCGTTAAAACTTACAATTAGTGACTTTTTTATGATGCATCTTTCAAATTGTCGCTTAAATTTAAAAATTGTGACTTTTTTATAACGATTTTTTTTAAACTGTCGCTAAAACTTATAATTTATGACATTTTTTGTGACAATTTTCAAGTTATCGTTGAAAATTAACAATCAGTGACTTTTTAGATAAAGTTTGTGAAAAACATCATTAATTACTATAGAACTTATTGAACAATAAGTCATCTACTAAGACCTACACATAAATTTCTTAGTTTTAATTATAATTTATTTGATCACTTTTTTTCTTTTCTGTTTTTTTTTGTCATATTTACAACTATTAGCACGATAAATTTTATGAGTAATACTAACCTCTAAAATATTACTCCTAATTTATTAAAATAGGTGTTTAACAATTTCAATCAATTAAGAGATGAGTTTTAAGAGAGTTTAATCATTTTCTCAAATTTTAGTGTGAATATGCTAATCAATTTATAATAAGTGATAAGAACATATTGTTTGCAATATTAAAAGTAAGTCCAAGAATATTTTAGACTCATTCCATTTTTACACTTGTTAAAGTCTAAGGTTAAAAATATCAAATTTTTTATTAAGGGGTTATTTGAGATGACCTAAATAAGTGTATTTTTTAATTTTTTATGAAAAAATATGCAGAAAAATAGAGAGATGATGTGATAAAAAAAAGATAAAAAGATAAATTATTTGAAGTATACCAAACTTTACCTAAATAAATAATTAAATATCTGACAAAAATTTTGAATCTATACCATTTTCTGTGCTAAAACCTATATTCTAGGTTTCCCAATAAGACACTTTTTCCCAGTTGCCAAACATGTGCGGGAAAATCTTTCCATGCCCGAAAGGAATCCAATTTGGAACCAACAAACAATTTTGCACTCCGCCGGCACAAGCACTTGCGACCCTTCATTGCCTCCTATATTTAAACCCCTCCCTCCACTTTCACTCCCACAATAGCAAAACCCTAGCAATATTCAGAGCATTTCTCTACAACAATACACTCAACAATGTCTCTCTGCTTTTCCCAATACGTTTCGATCAGATTCTCTGAACTGAATCATCGTAAGGTCAGTACTAGACTTGCCAAACAGTATACTGTTTTCCCACCTCCGTTTGGTTTCAAAGAAAACCAAGGAAAATGACAAGGGACTGAACCTTGGAGTTGATGAACTAACGATCAATTTGTGTTTATGGAAAAACATTAGAGTTTGAATTATGAATTTTAAAGAAGAAAAAATGATTGAGAATTTATATTTTGTCCTTTGTATTTTGGGCATTAATCTAGTGAGTTTGCATTACGAGAATGAGTTTAGAAAAACTGAGAATTGTGAAGTAAAATATATTTATGTTGCAGAGTTTCAGCTCGTTGGGTTCTTCGGTGAGGGATTATAGGGTATTCGCAGTTGCATCGACTGCAAATGAGGCCTGGAATTACATACCGGCAGCTCCGATACTTGTGCCCGAAGGGCCGTGGAAGCAGGTGAGGATCGTTGCTTATGGTTTCAGTTTTTCTTGTATTGCAATTTGGTTTTGAGTTTTGATATTGCATACATACATATATAGTAATATGCACACACGTATCTATATATGCACATACATACATCAAACATGTGCCACGGTGTTAGGGAAGATTTATAATCGTGCCAGGTCGCAACCTCTCTTATACCCATTCATTTCTTTTCGGCTAGATATATGATTAACTATTGAATTTGTGTAACTCTGTGGGTGATTTTCCGACCATACTGCCCGCTTAGTAACCAGCTGGAGAGCACCGGCAGAATAGATGACTTTAGCAAACTTGTAACAGAAAGAAAAAGGCTCCGGCGGTGGCTCTTCCACTCGGGAGCACTCTGACGATCAAGTCAGTATATCTCTCAAAGATAATCAAGTGCTAAACTTATTGCTCAAAACATAATTTGCGTACCTTAGACCCACGGGGGTGCCTTTCTTTTATAGTTTACTTAATCCAAGTCCCACTAGAAGCCTGACTTCTATGGACTCCAATTCAATATTGACTTTGGACTCTTCAAGAGATAAAGATAAACTCCCTAAGAGTCTTATCCTTATCTTGGCTAAGTTTTCTCTTTACTCTAGGACTCTTGTCTCTTATCCGCTTATCTCGGATTCCGATATCTTCGGAGATCACCTCGGCCTCGCCAAAGATAACCTCGGCATAACTACCACGACACGTGGCACCTCGGCTGACACGTCGGCGTCAGCATGCCTCGTGTTGGTACTCAGAAAATATATCCCCACAACTGCCCCCTAGGTTCTATTACCTCGGTATTCTGAGGTGATGGAACCTATATCGATATCTCTTTTTATGCATTGGCTTACAAACTCTTCAGCCGAGATCATTTATTTCAAGCCGACATGTTCTCTTTGGAGAACAAGAATTCCAGTGAACTTTCCCACGCGCATGAGCTGTCATGCATCACTTCTCAACTGTTTCTCTTACGCGTCTTTACCTTATTGGTCCGTGTTTGTGACGTGCTTATAAACCACGTTTTTCCTGCGTACGCCGCCTGACGTATGCGCTGCTCCAGGCGCATTGATTATCTTTTGCCGCCGTTTTTGGTTTTTGACAAAAACTCTTCCTTCTTTCATTTTTTCACTATTGCATTTGCTGTTTCTCTCTCTAAACTCGTTCTCTCGAATCCGCCATTGCTGAAGCTTCCAAGCTCTGTGTTTGTCTTCCTGGTGGAACTTTCGTCGTTCTGCCACATCTGTAACTACCGACAGATTTCGGCAGTCCTCACATCGGCTTCATTTTTTCTGGTAAGCAACTGTTCCTTCTGATTTCAATTCTTGACCATTTCTGGAATCTCCTGTTATTACTGCCTTGCTCAAATATCTATTTTGTGAATCATTCATCTGAATGTGTTTACTCTTTGATTTGACCCTTGCCTATACCTTGAACACACGCACCGTTGCACCACTTCACTGTATTTTTGCCACTGATCTTGGTCCTTTATTTCTCGTATTCTTCATGTTCTTGATAGCCCATCCCTGTTCTTGTTTCTGAAACTTCGCCTTTGTTTTCTGTTTTTTGTGTCTTTGCCAGATCTCTACCTTCAATTTTTACTTTTAATCTTTGCCTTCATAGATTTAGGTTTGGGATTTGTCTATAGAACCTATCAATTCTTAGAAAAAAACTGAAACAATCCTTACCAACATATACCTAGGGTTTCGCCGAGGTCCGATAATCCTCTTAAGAGCATCTTCTTTCTGAAACCTAGCCTTCTGATTTTAGGCCGACGTTATGGGTATGTGGAGACATAGGGTAGACACCCCGATCAAACTTGAGTACTTTAGGCAAGAGTTCTCTATTCCTGCCGATGTTCATCTGAGGCTGGCTGAAGATAACGACTCCATCATGCCCATAGATGATTCAATGCCCTTTTCCATAGTAGCTTTTACTGAGTGCGGACTCCGGCTCCCACTTAACATTCTCTTTCGCGAAATTCTTCACTTTTACAAGTTGAATCCTATGCAACTTGCCATAAACTCTTATCGAGTGATCAATGGCATCATAGTTTTAGTTAGGCAGGAGAATGCTAGGATCACCCTTGCCGACATCCAGTACTGTTATACCATGTGCCCCCTTAACCTGAAGGAAAAAGGCTTCGTCTATTATCTTAAGCCGAGGTCCACTGAATTCAAAATCGTAGCCGACCTCCCAGACTCCAACAAGGGGGTTGGAGATGATTATGTTATTGTTTCGGGAAATTAGGAGTTTGGCGCAGACGAGGACGCCCATCTCTACCCTCTTCCCCGATCAGTTAAAGAGGGCAAGGGTAAGAGCCCAGTGTCAATACTTAGTTGTTTCTGTTCAAGTCTTCAATATTTTATCTGTTTCTAATGTCTGTTTCTTCTTGCAGACGTTCGTAAGCTAGCGAAAAACTTCCGCCAATCTTACGTTCCCAGTAAGAACCTGATAAAACTCCTGGACTTGCCAATTCACAAAGAAAAGCACCTCTTCTTCTCAACTTTATTCCTACATACAAATCGATTTTGCCCGACGTCTCCAAAAGAAAGAAGAAAAGCCTTTCTCCTCCTACTGCCACAACTCAAACCGCCTCTACATCACGAACAGATCAAGAGTCAACATCTGACCCGACCAATCAACCATCTACTTCGGCCCCATACTTGGTCCCAATACAAGAACGAAAAC